TTCCTAGTGTGCTTTTCGCATGAGAGGCAGGAGAGGAGGCTGCACCACTTAGGTGAGGCTGGACCCCCATAGCTGGGGGTCTTTGGGCTGCAACCTGCATACTCTTGACCCTCAGTCTGAGGTCTCTCAGAGTCTAGAGAGGGTTTGTCCATCTGTCCCTTCCTAGAAAGAAGGGTCTGAAAGAGGCCACCCCTGGTCAGTGGGACTCCTGGCACCTGCTTAGCTAGGGGGCTGGGCCTGGCTCAGTCTGCTCCTGAGGGAAGACCCACTTTACTGTGGTGGTGAGGGTTAAATATGTTTATAAAGTGTTTAGTACAATGCTTGACACAGAATACATTTTCAGTTAATATTGCCTGTTCTAATTGTTCCAAGGACACTCCTATTCCAAGGACATCCTAATATCACCAGTCTCAATGTCCCCTCTCTGTGGGGACTTAAGCACCCTCTTTGCTCATTCCTGGCCCAAAAAACTCTTCTCTAGGCCTCCCATGACTCCATCATGCTGCAGCCTCCTCTTGGTTTCTCAGGAAGGGCAGCAGGGGGAGACTCTGTGGCAGGGACCCTGTGAGCTGGGGTGTTCAAAGTGAAGAAAAACCCTTCGCCGCCTGGCCCCTCAACTCCGCCTCTTCTCAACCACGCTCCTTAAAAAAAAACCACCCTGCTCATTATGGAGGAGCCCCAGCAGCCAGGCCCTGGCAAAAGCCCCCGCGAAAGGCAGCAATTAGATCGTTAGCACCAGCCCCAACCCACCTGCTCGGAGTCCCTCAAACGCGTTTTAATTATAATCCCTTAATCTCTCCCTCAGATGGCAAGGCTGGCTCTAGGGCTTTTGCCCCCAGCGGCCCCTTCCCGCCCTCCCTTCCCCCAATTAAGGGGTCCTCTCAGCAGAGAGCCCCTTTTGCAGCTAAAGGCCTCCCAGCCTGGGAGGAGCCACATCACACACACTCTGTCTCCCTCTCCATGGGAAGTGGCCCCAGATGGCGGGCCCATCCACCTAAATTCCCATAGGTGTGGCTGACCCCCTCAGGCTCTGTGTCTCCTGCCTGGGCACGAGCTGAGATGCCTGGGACCGTTTCTCTCCCCCTTGGCCTCCTCGTGTCCTGGTTTCTCTGTGTTCTCTGGGAAGCATCTCTCCCTGGCCCTTTCACAATGACTTCTATTTTCCTGTCAACCCACCCATGCCACCGTGTCCGAGCCAGCTGTCTCCTTGGCAATTCCATCCAGGAGCCCGCCAGGTTCTGTCACAGGTGGAACTGAGGCCAGGGCCCTGACAGGATGTCTCCTGGTGGCAGCCCTATAGTGACCTCTAGCTGACCTCAGCAGAGGGCAGCCTTGCCCTCCTGCCCCTCATGCCCACTCAGGGCTCTGGCACCCTCAGCCACATAGGGGCTGGCAGAACACTGGACCAGCCTCTATCCCTGAGCTTCGAGCAGGGCAGAGGCAGGAGGAGGGACAAGATGACCCAGCATGTGGCTGTGTCTGAAGCTGAGCCTAGATGAAGCTCTTTCCTGGGAAAGTTCTGTCACTAATTGACTTGCAAATGCCTGTTTGTCCCCAGATTCATAATTAGTGCTAAGGATTTCTAGGGCCCCATCCTGGAAGGGCATTTTTTGGGGGCAGCCTGTTCATCTCCCCTCTCTGAGGTTGGCCGGGCTGGGGATGGGCAGAGCCGGGTACCGGTGCCCAGCTGCCGTCCAGCGTTCCCACGGCTCTGGTGCCAGCATGTGAAAGGCGAGGTGCGGGGGGCGCGGGGGCCGGGGCTCCCCGCCATCCTTCAGCCGGGACCAGGGCCAAAGCCCTGAGGCTCCAGGAAACGACAGAGCTGGGGAGCGGGCTGTGACAGCGGGTGGGGGCCGGCTGGCACCCCCAGGAAGGAGAACCAGCCGGGGCCGGGGACTGGCATTGGCCGAGCCTCCTGCACGATGAATGGGCCAACAAGGGGCCTCTCTTCCCCACGGCTTCCCCACAAAGGCCTTGGCTACACCATTGGATGTGGGGGGCCGGGGGCCACCAGAGGAAGAGGAGAGGCTATTCTCAAAGATACCCCCACTCCCAGCCTCTGCCCTGCCAGGAAGGGGCCCTGGGCTGGGGGCCCAATGCCCAGGGTTCAGGCCTGGCTTGGACTTGGATCTGCTGTGTGAGGAGGGCAACTCTCCCAATCTCTCTGGGCCTCAGTTTCCCCCACTGTATTATCCCTGGCATCCTTCCTGCCCTGATGACCACCTCCTGGTTTCTGCCCACTCCACTCCCCCAACAGCCCCACCCCAGTCTCCACTGCTAGTTCACTGTCCTCTGCAGGCCCTATCTGGGCCTGAGGCCCAGCCAGACCTCCCTCAGGGTGTATCAGCGCCCCTTACCCAGGCACAGCCCCATAGCCCCTAATGCCCTTCACCTCCCCTCATGTCAGGAGGAGCTGTTCCAGTCTCGGCTTGCCAGGTCAGTATAAGAAAGTCGCTGTGGCTGCCTTCCATGAAGTCAGACAGGCCAGGGCCGTGACATTTGCAAACTGTGTGACCTGGACGTGTCTGTCAGTCTGTCTGGGCCTTGTCTGTGGAAGGCCTCACAGGTTATCACTGGGATCCAGTGAGACTGTGAGTGCAAGGCAGTCCATGTGGGACCTGGAATGGAGTGGATGCTCAGTCGAAGTTCTTTTTCTTCCTGCCTCCCTCTCAAAGCTTTCTGCCTGTGTTTCCTGGTGACTGAGATGTTCTTTCCTGGTCCACCCCCATCTTTTTTGCTTGGCTCTCCCAGCAGCCCCTCTATATTCCCATTTCATCTCCAGTTCCTTTCCCAGAACTGGCCATTTTCCTTTGGTAAGTCCTTCCTGACGTCTAACCTTCTATTGCAAGTTGCCCCCCCCCAGGCCTGGCCTCTTCCCAGGCTGCCTTGCAGCTGGGGCCCTGAGGGAAGGGGGTGGGGGTGGGCTCTATGGTAACCCTGAGAAGAGAATGCCCTCTCTCCTCATCTGCATACAGACGGTCTCATTTGCATACAGACAGGCCTCATCTGCATATGCTCAGTGGGACTCTAAGAGCGCATTCCAAAGTGTCCCGCCTGGACCCTCCCACCTTAGTCCTGGCATCCCTGTTAGAGAGGGGCCCTTCCCCACCCCTCCTGCCTCTGTCTGGCTCTGGGTCTTTCTGTTTCCAAAAGGCAGCCCACCCTCTGTCGCTCCTCTCCCACCTGCTGTTGCTGGTGTCTTGCTTTCCTTTCCTGTGCTCAGAGGAGTCCTTCGTCCCCCCTCCTCGTGCGGGCCCTAACTCCTTCACCAAGATCCTCCCTTTCAAGCCAGGAGGCCACTAGTGGAAGGGGCGGGCTGGCCTCAATCACCAGTTGCCTCTCCCTGCCCAGGCCCCCAACACCCAGAGGGTAAGGAGGCCATGAGCAGGGGAGAGGGAGGCCAGACCTGGGCAACTTCCTTCCTGCTGACCCCAGGCCAGACCCTGTCTTGTTTCACCTCTCCTCCCCAGGGACAGACCCCTGGGGCCGCAGTCCTGCATTCCACAGTGGGTCCTTGCAAGGCCAGGTAGCAGGAAGGTCCTGAAAGGAGGGCTGGGAACCTCAGACACACTGGCCGGGCCTGCTGACTTCTATACGACAGATTGTGATGCAAATATAACTGCCTTATCCTGGCTGTGTCCTCGGCCTCAGTCAGCCCTCCTAGACCCTGTCCTTGTGGGGGACCATGGGGCTCCTTGGCATGTAGATTGGGGGAGCCTAGAATTCTTCTCCCGATGAGTCTCCACCATACTGAGGCCCCTGGACATGGCCTTTCCCTTCTCTGGCCTCAGTTCCCTCTGTGAAATGAGGAGCTGGGCTAGATCAAGTGGCTCTCAATGTGTTGCTTCTTCCTAGAAACAGTGCCCAGGTGCCTAGCCAGCACTCTGCATGCAATTTTTGCAGAGGCAAGGATCCACTGAGGTTCATCTTGACCTCAGGTTAGGAGTCTGGGTCTAGAAGAGCTAAAAATGCTGTGGTCAGTGTGTAAAAGGAAGGGGGTATAGACATATGTGCTTGGATTCATATGGAGTATCTCAGGGAGGACGCAGGTACTAGTGGTTGCCTCTTGGGGGCAGAGGTGAGTGGCTGGGGAGAGGGTGGGAAGAAGACATACTTTCCCTTTTGTGCTATTAGAATTGTACCACATATATTATCTTAAGCCTTTTCTATTTAGAAAAATTCTGGGATTCAAACCATAGTTTCATGGAGGGACTGTGGTTAGACGGGAGGAAGGACGTTGTAGAGGGTGGTGGAGAGCTCAAAGGTGCTGGCCATCTGGACTCTGCTAATACTTTCCAGCAGGAGCTCTCTAGAGCATGAGATGGGCCTACCTGTTGGGGGAGCATGTTGGATACAGATGTGTTATGGGGGGAAATGGGTCAAGAGCACAGTTCCAGCTCCATCTTGCTGTGGTTCCCCTGATCCTTTAGGTTCCCTCCCAGGTCTCGTTGGGAAGTCCTACCTGCTGTGTAACCTGAATCCCTCTTGCTAGGCATATTCATTCCCTTCTGCTCTAGTGAGGACAGAGAGGAAGCAGGAGCCGGTGGCCTCGTGGGACAGGGGTGCTCTTTCTCTGTGGTCTGTTCAAACCCAGGAGGACATTTCTGAGGATCCTTTTGTGGAGGAGACAGAGAGCCACTCAGTGATCTCCCACATGGCACTCTGGGGAAGCAACCCCACCCTCTCCCATTCTCTTGGTCTTTGGGATGGTATCTGCGGGCCTCCTTGGCTGGAAGTATCAGCCCATTGCCCTGAGTTGGGACTGGCCAGATCATGGATGGGGTTGGTGTTCTGGGGTGGCTGAGAGAGGTGGAAGAAGCCAAGGAGCTTTTTACTCCCTACCCACCCCCCACAGGTGGGAGTTCTTAGTGAGGCTTCCCCCTTCTGTAGCAAAGGTGGCTTCCATGCACTGGTCTCTTAGAGGGAGCCCAGTACTGTCCTCCTCTCCATCAGTCCCTCCCCTCCCAACCCTGTGCAGGTATATCCACTACCACTAGTACTGTTGTTCAGTATTCAAGAGTCTTTATTAGGCATGAGATGGGTCTTCCATCTCAGAGAATCTCAGCTCAGACGACACAGGAGAAACCAAGATGGGCCAGGACGGACAGCTTGTGGACACGGGAGAAATGGTGAAGCAAAATCTTATCCCAGGTGGCTCCAGGCGTAATGGGCTGCCTAGGCTGGAGGCTAGGGCCTGCCTACTTCCATCCTGCTCAAAGGCTTTTTGGCAGAGCCGGTCAACTGGCTAGAGTTTAGCTTCATCTTTTAGTCAATCCAGGAAGGCTTCTCAGAGGGAACCCAGGCCAACCAGGTAAAGTATGTTCTTCTTTTGGTCTGAAAAGAAAAAATGTCAAGAGTGAAAAAGGTTCTCTTTGGATAGAGACCTCAGCAGGAGACAGAAGACAAGCTTCCAGGGAGAGCGTCCAGTGTCTGAGTCTAGCCGTCTCTTCTAGGGGCTCCACCCGGGGCCCTGGGGGAGGGGAATGCCCAGGGCAGGAAGGCAGATCCCAAGCAGGTGAGAAATTAGGGGGTGGCCCAGGGGACTTGCTTCAGGAAGGCGGAGAGCATGCTTCCCTTGGCCAGGGAGCAACCTGAGAGGATTTTGGTGGCTTCTACAGCTCCTGTGGCCTCCTCCCCAATCCTGTCTTCAACTGGCAAGGGCCGTTTTAGCATCCCTCAGACTTCACTCCTGCACCTGAGAAGGAGCACCCCCTTCCTCCCCTGAGAACATGCCCAGAGGTCCCCCTGCCTCTCTGGTCCTCTCATCTCAGTCCCTCTGACTGTCTGGAACATGTTCTGCCAGAAGTCGGCACAGGGGAGGGAGACAGCACATGCTTTGGGATCCACGAAACCCATTTGAAGCCTGGCCCAATTTGGTAGTCATGGGCAACTTACATGTCCTTCTTGGGGCTCAGATTCTGCCTTTGTAAAGTGGGGACAGTATCGCCAGTTTTCAGGACTGCTGGAAGATTAACTGAGATAATGGCTAAGAAAGAGCTTACACAAGCAAGTGGGTGCTGAGTCAAGGCCAGCTCCTCCCTTCCTGGGGTGGAGGGAAGCTGCGCCCCGGAAAGGAAAGTAAAGTCAGCAGGGGCCACACAGAAGTCAGGTGTCAGAGGCCAGCTGTGGCCACAGCATTCCTTTCCTGCCCCATTCGGAGTTGGGAGCCCTAGCTTTGGAAGCCCCCAAAGTTCACCTCACCCGACTACTCCAAGGGCTTTAAAATCTGAGAATAGAATTTCAGAAAGAGGAGAGGATCTGAGCCACTGCCCTGCACAGGCCAACTCCTCAGATCAGTGTCACCTCCCTCC